GTTGATAAAAAAAAAGTTTTCGATTTAAATAAAATTTACTGTAATGTGGCCAAAAGGGTCTTACAAGCTTGTAGACCACCGCGATTGTCATACACGCGCCACCAAAGAGGGTGGAATATGTCCTCGACAACTGGCCCCCCACATCCCAAACTGGCAAAGTCAGCTTTTTTTAATAGCTGAACTGCCTAAACAACCTTTAACCACAACTGTCAGTATTTTCAAAATCCCAATCTTACCCCTCCTATCCCCATACCCCGCCTACACCCCGTACAAAAGTAGGAATATATATATATATATATCTATCCTCACTCTGTCCAAAGCTTCTGCAAGAAAACTCTGCAGCGTTAACAGAGAGAGAACATCAGTATTTGACACAAGAATACTACTGGAAAATATTTCACATGCTTGTTGGGAGCATTTCATTTCCAATTTAATGCAAAAATCTAACAGTATTATATACATATTTATTACAATGGCGTGTATATTTACCCCCGTCATTAATGGCATTTACTGTTTTGCCACTTACCACCACCTCCGTCTCCAAATTCAAGAACATGACATGACCTCTGATTTTGTGGCTAGGGTTGTATCTACTTTGTATGTATTGTACAGTCTTGCGAACATAATTAATTATTTACTTGTGGGTCTTCCGAAAATCTCGCTTACATTTGAAAAATCTGCACTGATGTGCAAAAACCCAAATCGCTTCTTCTTCAATCCACAGGTTTTCTGTGTTTTTTCTTTCAGTTTTTTCAAAGTTGTCGTCTTTTGCTTTGTTTTATTCAGAATTCCAAGCTACAATGTAGTAGTAAAATTTTAAATGAATTTGTATTCCTATGTAGACTATGATTTAGAATTTCAAGATTGTTATTTTTTATTTAACGTAATTGGAAGTTTATGATGTATGCTTGAGGTGAAAATGGTGACCAGTGGAGTTTTCAATTTACGCAGGGATGTTCTCTGAGAAAAGGTACTCCATTTTGCTTTAGCTTTTGACATATGGGTTTCCCCTTTTCGTGATTTACAACTGTTCTTGAGGGAAAAAAATCCATGAACTTTAATTTCTTTTTACTAAATAGGTAGTGAATATTAAAGACAGCATTTACTTTTTGCAAAGGAAATACCATTTTCTTGTAGTCTTTTGTGAGTTTTTTTTAAACAACCAAATGCAGCTTACTTTTTGAGAGTTTTTCTTTGTTTGAGTGCACTTTTTCTCTGTTTGTGGAGTTTCAGGTTGACATTTTGGTTTTTTTGGTGGGTCCTGGAAATCAAAACTTGCACAGCCTGTGGACTTTGATTTTCATCTTTTTAAGTAATGGATGGGCGGCGGCATTCAGTTGATCTACCATTATCGAGAGCGCTGGTGGCGCTTCGGAGAGTTAGGTCCCTTCGGGATCCATCGACTAACTCTATGAGTAGATTTTCTGCCACGGTTGATAATATGAATTGGGAAACAAATTCAAGCAATGCAATCACTTTAGGATTTGAAAATGGTTCTAAAGGAGATGTCCCTAACTATAATGAGATATCGTGGTTGGGGGGGAAAAAGGAACAACATGTGAATGACCATGAATTGCACAATAACAGTTCAAGAAAATTGTCTTCGAGGCTAATCTCGTGTGAGAAGTTGAGAGATTCGGTTGGAAATACAGGACTGAATGCACATTTGTTAAACCAGGGGACAGAGTGTGAGAACAAAACACGAAGTGAAAGATATCGCAGAGACTATGAGGAGAAAAGATTGGAATTGATACATACGAGTGACTGCACTGAGGGTGTAGGTTTGTGTAATGTGCCAAATGAAGGATCAATGCACATAGAGAAGATGGGCCATGGGAGAACAAAACTGAAAAGCCGGTGTATCGGGCATACCAGATCGTCAAGAGTGACAGCTGGGGATGTTATGAGTCGAGTCGGTAGTCCGTGCTTATCTATTAGTGATGTTCTAATGGAAGAGTCTAGCCTTACATCGTCATTGTATGGGAATGAAGATGATGCTGGGAATTCTGATCTTCAAGGATGTGGGATAAGCTGCTGCTGGTCAAGAACCCCCAGATATAGAGAGCCAAATCTTCTTCCTGATGTAGAGGAGCAACCACTTTTGTTGGGGTATTCAGGCAAAACACCAGTGATTGAACATGAAACGGGATGGAAGCATAATAATAAAGGAGTTACTCTGTACCTGGAAAGTCCTAGGAGCCTTGGTCAAAAATTTAGACCAAAATCATTCAAAGAACTGGTGGGGCAAAATGTAGTTGCAAGGTCTCTTCTAACTGCAATCTCAAATGGGCGGATAACATCCCTATTTCTCTTTCACGGTCCCCGTGGAACCGGAAAAACATCTGCCTCGAGAATATTTGCTGCCGCGTTGAATTGTCTTTCTTCTGATATTGACAAACCGTGTGGTCTGTGCCAAGAATGTCTTCTATTCTTTTCTGGAAGAAACAGTGACATCAAGGAAGTTGATTCAGTGAGAATCAATAGAAAAGGAAGGATCAAATCACTTATTAAGAATGCAGAGATCCCTCCAGTTTCCTCACGATTTAAGGTTTATATCATTGACGAGTGCCACTTGTTAAAAGGGGAAAATTGGGCAACTATATTGAACAACCTCGAGGAGCTTTCTCATCAAGTTGTTTTCATTGCGATTACTCCTGACCTGGATAAACTGCCTCGTTTTGCAGTATTGAAGTCTCAAAAATATCATTTTACAAAGTTAAAAGAAACTGATATCATCAACAGGTTGGGAAAGTTATGTGTGGCCGAAGGTGTTGATTTTGACATGGATGCTTTAAGTTTTGTTGCTACTAAATCAAAAGGGTCACTCCGGGATGCAGAGATGATGCTTGATCAACTGAGTTTGGTTGGAAAAAAGATTACATTATCTTTGGTTTATGAAGCAGTTGAGTGTTTAGTTATTACTTTATTTACTTCGTTTACAGACAGTAGGATTATCGATTTAATTTCATGTTTGTTGGTACAGATCGGAGTTGTCTCTGATGATGAATTGCTCGATTTACTTCATCTTGCATTGTCATCTGATGCATCAAATACAGTAAAAAGGGCCAGAGAGTTAATGAGATCAAGGATAGATCCATTGCAACTTACGTCACAGTTGGCAAATCTCATAATGGATATTCTAGCCGGAAAATGTCCAGAAGGCATTTCTGAGGGGAGAAGGAAGCTTTTTGGAAGCCATTCTTGTATGTTCTGTAACTCCTTATTTGCTCCTATGATTAAGAGTTTGAAACTTAGGCTTGTTTAGCATGGCTTTTAAAAAACCAAAGTAGCTTTTGAGACTATTTTGGACCTGTTTTGATAATTTTTTGTATTAGCTTTGTCTGAGTGGATAGTTTTTAAAGGAAGCTAGTCCAAGTGGCTTCCTTATGAAGCTCTTTTACAAACAGAAGCTTAAGCTATCCCAAAGAGAGTCTGAATGTTTTTACTTCTTTTCTATAACATCCTGAAATGTGGGTCCATGTACCATATATTGGTTTACTTGTAGTGCATGGTATATTATTTCCTTCATTGCCCATGTCATATTTGTTGTACATTGAGTTTTAAGACCTAATAAAAGCATATTATTTGTAGGAATCCAAGGTGCCACATTTTGTTCATGGCTTCAAAATTGTCAAGATTTAGTTTTTTGTCTACATTTGTTAGTTGGTGTTTATTGATCGTGTAAGTTTATAAATGTGATTCAATAATTTGCTTCTAAGAAGTTGTTATTTTTGTGCCACAGCTGAAGCTGACATTCAGCAACTTAGCCATGCATTGAAAATACTCTCCGAGACTGAGAAACAATTGCAGTCGTCAAAGAATCAAACAACTTGGCTCACTGCGGCATTACTACAAATGAGCTCTCTGGAATCTTCAACTGATGCAAATGAATCAAGGTTGAGCATTAGAACCTTAGATCCACAAAGTAAGAATTACAGAAATAATGTTGTTGTATAGCTATGGTATTTTGCCGTGACGACTTGTACTTTCTACTAAGGTTAAGCTCTATATTTAGATGCAGGTTCAGATTTTTGCAGCACGTCCACAAATAGTGAGAGTTTGAAGTATCTCGTTACCTGTTCATGTGACAATATTGAATCTCGTAAAATTGGGATGCCAGATGGTGAAGAAACCCTGGAGTTGATGTGGAAAAGAGCTACTGGAATGTGTCAATCCAACTCTCTCAAGAAGTTTCTTCGAAAACGAGGAAAGTTGATATTTATTTGTCTCAACCAAGGTAGCTCACCCATGCTTTAGTTTTCTTTTCAATTACATACCACTTGGCTAAGAATTAAAAATGGTGAAAGCTTGATTTCTAGACTCATATGCAAGCTAGCAGTATATCACATATGAGGGTATAGTCTTGTGTTCCTATTAAAGTAGTAAAATAGATTCACATGGTGCATATTCTACCATTTTCTTCTAAAAAATTTCAACTTCACATTTTTGTGACCGTATCATCTGAAACTGAGAATCAACTGAGACGATTTTGCCCCTTTACCATTCTATTGTGGTTTTGAATCATGACTAAATCTTGTCATATAATCTAGGCTTGGCAGTGGCTGGATTGGAATTCCATCATCGTGATCATGTACACAAGGCTGAAAGATCATGGAAATTGATTGCATCTGCACTTCAGTGCGTGTTGGGTTGTAATGTGGAGCTAAGGATCAATCTTGCATGTAATGCTTTCGGTAAAAAGGACAAATTCAAAAGGCCATGTTTGAGCTTGTTCGGTTGCTCACGTAGAATGCATCTTAGGTCTCAGTTATCATCAGAATGTGGAAACGATACTTCTGAAAACTTTGATTTCATCCCTAAAACGGGCATAACAAGAGATAAATCCGTTGAAACTTGTTCCCTTGATTGTGGGTCCCAACTGTCGGAGGCTTGTTGTCATGGAAAAGAGGTGGTGAAGACTATACGAAACCAGGATGGAAATGCTCTAAGCATTGGAGTGAGTACGCCAAATAGATCATTTACTGACGACATGGGCAAAACAAATCAAGGAGGATTTAATCCTTTCAAGGATGGAAGCAACTATGAATGTTTGGATTTGATTGCCCCTGAGCATGAGAATCAAACGGGATGTGCCTCAAGTATCCAGAACTTAAATATGTCAAATGCTTCTAGGGCGATTCATTCTAGCAACCAACAACAATGCAATCTGGCGCTGTCATTTCCATGCAAGACATCTTCAGAAACCTACTTTTCTTCTAGCCGTATTTCTGCCTCTCGTGTGTCAACGAAGTACTGTAACTCCTACAAAGATAATATGTAAGTTTTTTATTACTGGTAATTTTTAAAGGTTTTGTTCTATTTGGTGATTTGCGTTTTTCCTTCCTGAGATCTGCCGCTGTCGTACAGTCATGGTTTATTCTACATTTTGGAGAAATCATTGTCAAAACACATTTTTAGTAGATTAATGGAAGTAACTTTTTTCTTTTCATTTTCTTTCATTTTTTTTTTCTTTTTTTTTTTTTTTTTTTTTTTTTTT